TGCTTGAAGGCTTTAGTCCTTCGCCTTTGTTGTCTGCTAGGGGTATCCAGCTCTTTAAAGAGTTGCGTCAGTTCCTGAACAGCATCCTCCATGTCGGCTTTTTTCCCAATTAGATCAATATATTCCTCAATTTCTGCCCGAGAGACCTCTGGCCAGTCAGTGTCCTTTGCAGCCTGCATGTTAACTTCTACAGAGGGAGCATTATCGTCTGGCAAGTTAAGGAATTCACCCATGAGCTTGGCCCATTTTCTCCGTCTGCGTTGCTCTTCATCACGGAAAATAGCTAGTTCCTCTGCAATATCTCTCGAGTCAGTTTTTATCTTGTCAGTCCATTCATGGCGGCGAGTAGATTCGATCAGAATGGAACCGTAGATAGATGGGAGATGGTAAACAAGGCACAACACGTCGAAAGAATCGGTTTCAACATTTAATTCTGCTATATCGGCCTGTACCTTCGCTAACCGCAATTCTATGGATGATATCTTTTGCATTTGTGCGGACGAATCCTTCATTGCTGTGCTGAGGCCCTGGGCGGTAGCATTCAGCATATCTCGCAAGCTGAGACTCAAGTCCATCATCTTCGGGAGGACCTTTTTGGTGTGCACTAGTGCTACTTTCGAAATGCTTGATATCGACCCTGGGTCATTCTGTAGTGATAATACAGATGTGTAATCTGCAGCAATCTTCTTAGCATGCTTTTCAATTTCCCCCAGGAGAGCTTGTTCTGGGGTATTAGCGGAAGCATTAGATATAGCATTGCCTAATGATTCCGCCTGGGAGGAAATATCGCGGACTTCTTTCTCCAGATCACCAACACGCCGAGCAAAGCGTTGAGACTGTGAAGTGACGTCTGACACCGCATTCTGCAATTCTTCCGCTTCGATATAGTCCTGCAGTGTTCCTGTACGATAGTCCTTTGACTTCTTTGGTGCTGCACGTCGCAGAAACGTGAAATCGCTCTTAGCAGGTATTTCTCCAAGGGTACTGTAGGCTCGCTGCCAGTCTTTGAGCGCAGACCGTTGGTCTTTCATGAGATCATTGGCCCAATTGTGAGTATCTTGAAACTTGTGCTCCAAGTTTCCAACATGTGATTTCAGGTTCTCCAGGGCTACAGAAACACCACGCTGGATGACTCCTATCCGTATATTGTAATCGTCAACCGACTTGGCCATAGTGCTGCAATGCGCCGCAAGATTGAGCGCCCATGACCGACGGGCCATGAAAAGATCCTTCCATGATTGGAGGTTGTTTCGGTCGGCTAGGACATCAGGAGGGTCTTGAGATGTGAATAACGGCGGTGACAGTTCTTCAGGTGTGCTACTGCTTGCTTGCTCGCTCACGTTCTGCCTATCGTATACAAAGATCTCGTTCTATTTCAGTTAGCAGGGACTCTTTTTAAACACGCAAAAACGGAGAAGAGAGGACCTACCTCTGTAGCTAGGCTCTGTGTCTTGACACTCTTCCCCTTTGCAGTCATCAATATCTGCCTCTGTACGGGAATATGCGTATATCGAGATATCCATGAGCGCAGTGCATCTGGCCTAGGTGCCTGACGGTTAGCTAACGTTTATACCGGAGAGCAAGGCGATACACCCACGAAGCAAAAGAGACTGGGTCGGCCAGCATCTGCTCACCGCTGTGAGCTATGTATATGTGTAACGACATTGCCAGGTACAATGTCTGCGCGAGGCTGGAGGTCTTCCTTGGATCCGGAGGGCTCGTAGAGTGGATTAATAGAAGCTCGCATCATCAAGGCACGCGGCACCGACAACCCACTCGATGCCTTGTGATTTCTCCAGTGCGCAGCGGGTACCGTGTGCCTGCAGAGAAGCTCTAGTACCGATCCGCTAGCTGTTCGGCGCTGCAAGGCGTTTGTTGACTGGCGCTCGCATGCAACTACTTCAGGTGCCTGGGGAGCTGAATCACGATCGCCCCGGGTTCTAGCGCAAGTCAGTTGACCCACAGAAACAACCACAAGGCCGGTCAGGTCTATTTAAACCCACCAGAAGCTTTCACGCGATCTCACACAGACAGGAAGGAATCTTTGAAAAGGCAGAATTAGGACGAGAAGGAGGAATAAGTTGAAGTCGATGACGTTGAATTTGAACCGCCGAAGCTCTCGTCGCCTTCTTTCCACGTGATGAGGCGGTGGTTCAAGTTTGTAAAGGGAGAACAAACAGCATTGTCGCGGATCAATCAAGACCTCAGCTTCATTATTTGTTATTTGGATGAGATGAAACGGGGGTGAGGAGGAGTCCATGGCTCAGAGCAACAAAGATGGGATGGAGAGCTTGGAGGCGTCGGCAAGGGCTCTTCTGGACATTGCGACTCAAGATGAAACAGCAGAGAGCTTCTCGTTCTCACAGAAAGAAACCGAGATTTTAGAACTCTACGACCGTGTCTTTGAACTGAAACTGGAAGAAGCACTGTTGAATCATGGTGCGTTTGTGTTTTATGACCAGCTTTATCCATCTGAGCGTGGGTGCTAACAGGTTAATCGTGCAGAACTCCCTGAAGACACCGAAATGGGAGATATTTACGTGAAGCTAGCAGAGGCAGAGCGCGAACTGCTCGAGGTTAGGGCAAGGGTCTCGGTTCAGCGAAAGGTCGTTGAAAGTGTTCTCATGACTGAACCGAGCCTGCAGGCAGTTCACTCAGCGCCTTCATCACCACTTGACAGGTATGGTTTCTCCTTTTATCTGGAAGCCTCATCTGGCTTACTGATTCTACTAGGACCCTTCTTCGGCTTATCAACAAGCGAGATATCTTATCACTCGCCTACGAGAATATGCTGAGCACACATACTACCTGTCTTCGAAAGCTATCCAGTGCTGAAGTCTCCAATATCCAAAACATCAAACAGAATCAGGAGCTGGTCCAGTCCCTGCTTAAGCTGACTAGCAATGACAAGTCGGCGGATGAGGAGATACCAGACCTTGAGTTGAAGGAGGAACTAAACCGCTTAAAATCCGAGAACAAACAGAAAAAGGCCCAATGGACGCGCATAAAGCGCATAGTGAGTGCTTCTATCGCTGCCAGTGGAGTCGACTGGGCCAGCGATGAGAAGCTCGAAAGCCTTGTTCTTGATGATGATGAGTTTGATGACGTCTGATCCTGCGCACAACTGTCGTTTTAGATGATTCTATCTAATTTCTGTGGGACTTGACTAGATGAGAATTAGTCTCTCACCATACCTTGGATGGAAGCCAGGGCATGCACTTCTTGAACACGCTACAAAGGGGCCAGACTATAGAATATTTGTCCATGGGCTGTTCAAAGGCTAGCCTAGCATTCCTCCGAGTCACTAGGTATTCCGCCCATCTCTCAGGGTACCTACAAGTTCACCATGGAAGCCTCCAAGGTTCGTCAAGCTGATGGCTGGGCCCCGAGCGTAGTTACAGCTACTAGGCACTGAACTGCTATAGTTCCGCGGGCATATCGTCTACCCACGAAGCCTCAATAAACCAATGTATACAATAGATATCAAATCAAATAATATATATCGCTCCTGCATGTCGTCATATTACATAACTTAACTTATCTTATTAAGCATAAAGTCACGTGAAATGGTTATCTTATCGCTCTGACGTGAACGCGAAATATGGAAAATGAGAAAAGCGCGTCGAAACGTCGAAAATTGCCGACATCGAGACTATATCAGCAGCAGTCAGTTACCACCTACTACCGTCTCTTTTCATCGATACACCTAAGGATACCTTAAAAATACTGCTCAGCGAGGTTGTCATTTTATTCCCGGTTATGATTGCGAGCTTTATTTAAGCTACAACATGTTCGCCTTCCCACAACCCGCCATCCCCCAGCCACTTCCACGTCCTTTTGGTCAATTCGGCACGACACTTGCATACTCTATGTCGGATCAAAATACCCCCTTATCGCCAGAAAATAGAGGTCATTCAGGTACAAATCAACTTGACTCAACACCATTCACATTTTCCCTATCATCTCCGCCGCACCCGGGCTCCACACGGACATCCAATTCGCGTTTTGCACAACGATATGCATCATCTATAGCCCGGCCTGCTGCACGGGTAGCAGAGCGGCAATCTAGAGAATCCCGACGGGATAGCTTTCTGAACAAAGTCAAACGCAGTCGGCAGTCGGATAAGTTCGAGGCGCGGAGTGACCAGATTCAGAGAAGTGATTTCCTGGAGCAGAGGAAGCGGTTTGAAGAGGAGATGGCGAAGTCAGGACCTCAACTCGATAATATAGAAGAGGATGAAGGTGATGACTATGTAGATGCTTACCCACAAGAGGAAGATAAAGGTGAGAGGACGGTGCTATTTTTTATGACACTCATTCGACACAAGGCTAATTTCTACGTATAGATATCGACGAATCTCTTCTTGAAGACTTTATTGCTCAGGAGGAGAATGAATACATGACATTAGCTGAAGATATGCCGGACACCTGTGCTGCTGAAGAGCCGCTTAATAGCGATATACTCTACGGTGACATGGAAGAAGACGGACTTTTAGTTGATCTCATTGATCAAATCGAGTCTCAGTCTCATCAACAGATGGATATGTCGGGTACTTGAATCAATTCTTGATATCCCAGAAATTTTCCTTTGTTCGTTTCGGATTAGCAGCGTTGCGGTAATGGTGGTAGGTTATTGCTGATCAACTCAAGTTACCGACGGGAACGAAAAGCTTTCTGTTCTCAAGATATGTCGGCTATGGCCATCTATAACCGCGGTTATATTTGTATATGAACCCTCCACGCTCAAGATGCAAGAAGGTTCCTTTTTTTTTTTTTTTTGGTCAAAGGCGACATATCAAGATTTAGCTTTGCAACATTCACATGTATCAAAGCTACTTCCTGAAAACGCGTGTCGACACAGACAGCTAACATCTCATTCTCTTTCCTGCCCTGTTGGAAATAAATCGCGAAGATGGCTAGTGAAAGGGTGTAAATTTATGTACAGTACACTGACGGTTTTTGATATATGGAGGGAAATGGGCAGTATTGGTATATTAAAATTATTGCTGCGCGCACCCTTCTTGACCAAGTGCCTGGAGTTTTGATTCGTCCATAAATGGAGCAGATATGAGATCATCTGGAGGACTTCCAGCGGCTTGCATCTAATGAATAAGTCAGAGCGAAATACAGTCACAGCAGAAAGACTCCTACGTACCTTTTGCATCTTCTCCCAAATGTAAGCTCTGTCCTCGGGTTTATCATCTGAAAAGTTCTTCTCTTCGAACTTCCGAACAATATCAGATACCAGGGAGGCCTGCAATTCGTATCTCTCTCGATCCTCCTTCCCTATCTTTTCCTTGTTCTCTCTCAACCAAGGACCGAACTTGTCATCAAGTTCCTTCAAAGGTTCATATAACATCTCCTTGTTCGACAATTGCTCCATAATCCCCATGAAAAGCTTATCGAGGTTCCCATCGTCTCCCTCGCCAGCACCAGCAAGGCCGCTGCTCTCCATTGCCTTGAGAATTTGCATCAATACGTCTTCATTCCCGCTTTCGTTGACTTCTGCGGTGGCTTTGTCACCTGACTCTTGCATTCGTTCCATCGTCCTTTGAATCGTTTCCTGGAAGTTATCTTCCCCTTTTTTCGTCGAGGGCGATGGCTGCTTCGCTGTGCCTGATGCTTTATCTGTAGTCGTTGACCCGTCCATTCCAGTGACGCCTTCTCCGCCTGTCATTAACTCCTCACCCATCATAAGTTTCATCACATCTGTCATCGTAAATCCTTTCTTCTCGAGTTCTTCTGTCAGTGCATTCCAGTCTTCGTTTCCGGGAGATTGCGGCATCCCTGGTATATCGTTCGTTTTCTCCTTCGAGGAGTCTCCCTCTTTTGTCTGCTGCCCGCTCGCATCTGTGGGGAGAGCGCCCATCAATTCAGCCATCCCAGCCTCTAGTTGTTTTAATAGGGCATCCTGGTCGGCAGCTGATAGTTCTGAATTTGACTTTTCTTGCTTTTCTTGAGACTCTGGTATTATCTTGTCTTGCGCGGCTTGGGAGGTGGTCTTCGTCGCAGAGAAGTCATCCAAAACATCTACCATATAGTCAGCATTTCCAGAGACTCCAATATATATTTATACACATAGCTAGCTCAGCGTATGGATTGGCGCTCTTACCATCAAGCTCTTCCCAGTCTGATTCCTCTTCCTCCGCTTGTGTAGGCAGCTCGTTCTTCACTTCCTCGGGTTTTGGTGGCTGGACTTCGGCGACTGGTATGGCTTCTTTCTCTGCAGGTGTAGGCGTGTTTGTGTCGGCCATGGTATATGACAGCTCTCCAAGGTAAATATAGGACTGATCTCGTCAAATAAAAGTATCCTCCCGGCTCCAGTTCGCTGTTGTATTGTTCCTGGCCGTAAAATTTATGCTGGCCAACTGCTGTAAGTATGTTTAAAATAGGTTGTCGGCAGGGATGTTCTTCTCCTTCAAAGTGGCGGCCCCTCCTTCGTGCCTCGGCTCGAATCACTAGCCTTAAACCCCTGGCACAGCAGAAGGTAATTATTTAACTACAGCTTGTGTTACAACAATAAGAAGCGGCCACTGGATTGGTGTTTTGTTTCATTCATTGCTAACTAACGCCATAGGAATATCCACATTGAGATCTGAGGAAGGAAATGACCCAGAGAGATTTATGGTGGCCTGATATAAGGTCCATATAGTAGATAACTATATATCGCAAAAGACGTCTGTCAAATCATTAAATGTGCATGCATTCGTAACCAACAGGATGGTTCGCGTGTCGTATGTATTTAGAGCTGTCGTCGGAGCCAACATAGACAAACCTATGTTCGGTTAATGGACCATGACTTCGGACTGTTGCTGCGCTTCAGCGGTCTTGGGGTCGGACTGATTGTTGTCAGCGGGATCTCCATCGCCCATTTCGACGTCTTCGTCACCGTCGCCCTCGTCCTCGCTCTCACTACTCTCTTCTTCCAAATCTTCACTTCCGGCTTCATCATCGTCTTCATCTGCATTGCCCTCGTCGGCAGCGGGGCCCTCAATTTCCATGCCATCATTGTTCGCTTCTTCTCTATCCAACTCTTCCAGTTCCTTCTCAAGTGCGGCCTGAAGTTCTACCTCCTCAGCGCCATAAGCTGTGCCATCATCATCAAGTGCATCTACATCCGGCTGGTCTGGGGGATACTCTGCAGGCGCAGAATCCTCAGAATCCCTAGTTTCAAACAGCGCACATCAGTATCTAACCATTAAACCATACGGAAAGGAACAAACGTTCAGCACAAGCTTACCATTTGATTGCAAACCGTGTGACTCGAGGCTTCTTCGCTAGTACATTGCGTACAACTCTCTCGATAATCGGTTTGGTCGGCGGCTCTGCATTTAATTCTTCCGAGTCGTATTCATTGTTGACGTAGTATCCAACTCGAACAAACTCTCTACCATCGTAGCTGCATGTAAGAAGGATGACCGTGACTCCCAGAATCTCTGACGTAGGTATTCTCTTTAAATCTGGAGGATCGGCCTCAAATATAAACTTGTTGACACCAACTGGGATTGGGCCGACTAATAGCGAATCAAGCTCCTGGTCATACTCAGACCTAATCAGTCAGACTTGCGTGCTCTCCTACAATCGCCGTTCTCAATGTCAGACTTACGAAGTCGCAGAACCGACGTAAGTCAGTTTCCACTCCAGATCTAGAAATGAGCCGATTAGAACAAAAATTCAAACAAATCAAAATATTTTTCACCAGAGTGTTTATCTACCACACCTTTTTGTAGTTGTTCCAGACACTCGAATGTGATCTCGAACTCGTAAGGGGCGGTAAAGGGGGCCGGGTTGTTCACCACCCGTACACCAAGCAGCGAAACCACCGACATCTCGACGTATGTGCAATCTCAAGTCAAGTCAAAAAGAGTCAACCCGTTCTATCACGCTGGCTCGACAAGAGGAGCTGGCTGCTGTCTCCCCGGGGCAAAGTATCTAGTCGCGCTGCGCTGTGGCGGGGGAAATCGTTCGTTATGCGTGAGGAAAGCGGGTTTTTCTTTTCTTTCGTCTTTCTCGATGCGACGCGGAAAACCAATTTAGCAAAACTAAAAGTTCGCGTCTTGATTAGTGAGAAATGTTATATAATGCTTATGTAAGGAATTCTATCACGTGATGAAGCTCGGTGGCGCATTCAAGAATAGCAAAAGGTGATACAGCAGATGTGCAGCAGTTCGTGCTGTTTTCTTTATGAAAGCTATAGGAGATCCCGGCAGGAGAACTGAATTTCAGCGATTAATTCCTTTGTGTCTTCGTTTCGCGCTCCAACTGCCCTTGGTCTCAGCTGTCTTTCACTTCTCCGCGCCTTGGTTTGCCCGCGGGCGTCCTATCTGTCACGTGACGCGACCAAAGAACTTCCGAGCTTTTTTCCTGACAACCAACACCTGGAAAGACGCTTACAAGCTTGCTCGAAGTTTTCACCAAACAACCACACCAGCCTCTGACATACAGCAGGTAGCCCTTCCTCTTCCTCGTTGGTTTTCGCCCATTTGCGCCGTTAGCTGGGAAGGGGAAGTTTTTTCCTTCTTTCTCCTAAAGGTCGGTAACGAACGCCTGCGATTTCATTTCACGTTTCGACTTGAGCTAATCAAACCATTTCTTACTCCTCCAGACAGAGAGCACAGGAAGAAAAAAGAAGGACATTCGAATACCCGTTTGCCATCTTATAGAGAGCAAACATGGCGGAGGAGGGAGCTGAACAAGGATACCTGCAGTCTCAAAATTTGAATACAGATGCTGATGCCACGGCTGGGTCAGACTCGGACGACTATGATCCTTCTGAAACAATTCAAGAGCAGTTTCCTGCAAATATAGCAGCTTCAAATTATAATACGATTCCTCATATGTCTCCTTTTGCCAGCTCTTCCACCTCAACCCCTGCTCCAGGCGCGAATTTGCCTGAAAGGATGCCTGGGGAGTCCTATAACAACAATGATTCGACCTTTTCACTTACCCCGTCTGGGGCAGAGCCCAAAGGTTCTACCACAATATCCCAGATTGGTGTCTTTGAGGAGGGGTCAACAGGTGATGAAGATGGAGGGGACGCAGAGTATGAACCGCCAGCTGCGGCCTTATCAGCCCAAGTTCAGAATTCAATATCTACTTCTGCAGACATGTCTCAGCGCTCTCTTTCTGAAAATATAAATGAACCTGTTTCACATTTCCATGTACAACAGCAAAATATTGCCTCAGATCAAAACACTCCACCTGTTTCCATTAATCTTCCTGCTTCTGATTCCCACGTTGCTTATACTGTGCAGAACGATAGTGCACCTAAACCAATGCAAGGAGAATCAAAGACCCCAGGACGATCCGCTATTCAATCCGCGAACAGCTCCCTACCTTCCACGCCGCCGGTTGCTGCAGCCGCCTCTAGGACCCGTCTGCCGCATGACCGAGTTGGCATCCTGGAGGATAGAATAAAAGCTGATCCTCGTGGCGATACAGAGGCATGGCTGGAATTAATTAGCGAACATCGCAGCAGGAATAAGCTTGATAGCGCCAGACAGGTTTATGAGAGGTTTTTCAAAGTCTTTCCATCAGCGGTACGTTGTTATCCTAGTTTTATCTTCGTTGCAATTACATCAAACCCCATTTCTAACGATTTGCTAGGCTGAGCAATGGGTCGAATATGCCACCATGGAGTCCGAAAATAACGAACTGTACAAGTTGGAGCAGATATTTACTAAATGCCTTTTATCTATTCCTAATGTCCAGCTCTGGTCGTTGTATTTGGATTATGTCCGCCGTCGTAATAACTTGACCACCGATACGAGTGGCGATGCACGACGAACCATCACGTCGGCCTATGATCTTGCACTTCAACATATTGGCATCGATAAGGACTCGGGTAATATCTGGGTTGATTACATCCAATTTCTCCGTTCGGGGCCTGGTAATATTGGAGGTTCTGGTTGGCAAGACCAGCAGAAGATGGATCTTCTGAGAAAGGCATACCAGCGGGCAATTTGTATTCCTACGCAGTCTGTCAATACTCTTTGGAAAGAGTATGATCAGTTTGAGATGGGCCTTAACAAGCTTACGGTAAGTGGAATACCCTAGACTAGTAGTATATTATTAGGGATTTGCTAACTATTCGCTTAGGGGCGCAAATTCATACAAGATAAATCTCCCTCCTACATGACGGCAAGGAGCTCTTATACTGAACTTCAAAACATCACCAAGGAACTTGTCAGATCATCACTCCCCCATCTACCTCCAGCCCCAGGGTATGAAGGGGATTTTTCTTTCTCCAAGCAAGTTGAAATCTGGAAACGTTGGATACAGTGGGAAAAAGATGACCCTCTGGTTCTCAAAGAAGAGGACTTGGCTAGCTACAAGCAACGAGTTCTATACGTCTACAAGCAAGCACTTATGGCATTACGATTTGTGCCAGAGGTGTTTTTCGATACCGCAGATTTCTGTTTCCAGAATAGCATGGAAACCGAAGGAAATGACTTTTTAAAACAAGGTATAGAAGCGAACCCAGAGAGCTGTCTCCTTGCCTTTAAACGTGCCGATCGACTTGAGTTATCCTCAGTTTCGGAACAGGACCCTAAGAAACGTGGTACCCTTGTCAGAGAGCCTTACGACAAGTTACTTGACGCACTTTATGAATTAATAGCCCAGGTGCGAGCTCAGGAGGCAACGGATATTGCCAAGCTCGAAGAACAAGCTGCACAGGCAGAACCCGAGCAGCCAACTCAGCTCGAAAATGATGATGATGATGATGATGACGAAACGGGTAACCCGCCAACTCAAGAAAGTGCCAAAGCGAAGGAGATCGAGTCAGTGAAAAAAGATTACGCCGCAAAAGTCGGCGTTCTCTCCAAGGCCATATCCTTTGTCTGGATTGCATTGATGAGGGCAATGCGCCGTATCCAAGGGAAAGGCAAGCCTGGTGAAATTGCCGGATCCCGTCAGATATTCGCAGATGCGCGTAAACGCGGGCGTATCACCAGTGATATTTATATTGCCAGTGCCTTGTTGGAATACCACTGTTACAAGGACCCTGCCGCAACCAAAATTTTTGAGAGAGGTGCAAAGCTCTTCCCAGAAGATGAAGTGTTTGCTTTGGAGTATCTCAAGCATCTGATTGATATTAATGATATTACGAGTATGTTAACTTTCGCGTTATCTCAGTGAATAACTCCTCTAACTTATCGTTTATAGATGCACGGGCAGTTTTTGAAACCACTGTTCGGAGACTTGCCTCAAATCCGAAGAATGTTGCAAAAGCCAAACCCATTTTTGCCTTTTTGCATGAATATGAATCCCGATATGGGGATTTGGTACAAATAAATAACTTGGAGGCCAGGATGAGAGAATTGTTCCCCGAGGATCCTTCTCTGAAGCAGTTTTCCCACCGATTCTCCGCTCCATCCTTTGACCCTACCACCTTCCAGCCGATTCTATCACCAAGCCAACTAAAACCCAGAACGATTTCATCCCTCGAAGAGCCCAGCTCTCGGCCCAACTCACCTTCTATCCGCCATCCAACTAGCAACACTCACTCTCCTAAACGATCCTTCCCCCTTGACGAATATAGTGACGAATTAAACCGGCCACGAAAATTCATCCGTGCCGAATCTCCGCTGAAAGGAGCCGCTGGAAGACGTGAACAGCAGAAACGACTACAGTCCAACGGCTCTAGTGGTGGCCCGACTGCTGCAAGGAAGCAGCCACAGCAGCCACCTCCTTCAGCAGGACCCCTACCTAGAGATGTCGTATACCTTCTAAGCATCATTCCTCCAGCCTCTACATACGACGCAACTAGGTTTTCACCCGAGATGATGGTGAATCTCCTCCGTCAGATCGAGCTGCCTTCTAGTGTATCACAGCTTCGACTCTCACAGCAAACTGGTGCTGGCTCACACCAGTACCCCCAGTATGGTATGTGGTAGCCTAGTCCCGCCATCATCCCTGCAAACTGGCGATTAAACTAACTGAACCACATAGGAGGCTATCGTCCAAACGTATAGGATTAAGGCAACATAGCCACAACTCAGAGGCTCCCGTGTGGCGGGAGATGTATCTAAAAGTGCATGGATTGGTACCACTTGTAACATAGCCTTTTTTTTTCTTTTCACCTTTGGGGATCTATTTGCATGATAAGGACTGCGCATTCAACTAGAGCTCGAGTTACTTAGGACAACCTAGACTGGCTTATTTTATCTCAATTAATCACTTTGTCCACTTTTTAATTCAGTGTCTCTGCTTTTATCGTCTCTTTTTACACCTATAAAAACGTATAAGAAGGACCTCAACATTAAACGATGACATCTACGCTTACGTCATCAGGAACCCGATCTCTGTGCTAGTCCTGATACAGACTAGCTGCCAAGAAATTATGACGTCGCTCGCCTTCTTTATGCACTTTAGCTTTTTTTGTTACCAAAAAGGTTATTAAGTAAGCATCGATATAAAATGCTCCAGGGCCAAGTTCCGATCTTCGACTTGCTCGTCATTTCATCACCAAACTCCCCGTCATCTTCACACTCGAGTTTCACACGTTATACAGCAGAGAAGGAGAACAGTTTTGGCCGACAGTGCTGAAATATGTCGGCTTCAAAGGACGTAGGCTCTGGCGTTCCTGCATCTAGCAAGGGGTCTTGGGCTACCTTCCTCAAGGTAACGAGTTCCCCGCTCCCCAGCAACAATACCCATATAGGAGCCTAGTTAATCTAACAGAAATCCATAGTCCATTGCTTCATTTAACGGCGATCTATCCTCCCTTACAGCGCCCCCGTTTATCATTTCGTCTACCTCCCTGGTTGAGTTCTCTGCATACTGGGCCGAGCACCCCGCCCTGCTAGTCGCACCGTCACGCGAGCAGGACCCTCAGAAGCGTGCTCTGTTAGTTTTGAAGTGGTTCCTTAGCACTCTACACCAGCAGTACTGCAGTCGAAGTGAGAAGCTAGGAAGTGAAAAGAAACCATTAAACCCGTTTCTGGGTGAGCTATATCTAGGGAAATGGGCTGATGACGGAGATGTCGGCGATACCCTGTTATTCAGTGAACAAGTGAAGTATGCAGACGTCACTCCACCAAGATAATACCGGACCAGCATTTCAACTTTTTGACTTGCTAACATTATACGCTATAGTCATCACCCTCCCGTTACAGCGTACGCTATCGAAAACCAGAAGCATGGTGTCCAGGTTAGTTACCTCGCTCACAGTACTGACATAGTGTTTTGCTGACGTGGGATCGCCGGAGGAATAGCTACAAGGATACAATGCTCAGAAAGCGTCATTTTCAAATACCATCAATGTTAAGCAGATCGGCCACGCCCTTTTGTCTTTCCCGACCCCAGGTTCCACTGAAAAGGAGACTTACCTCATCTCACTGCCGTCGTTGCACATCGAGTCCTTGATCTATGGAACCCCATTCGTTGAACTTAACAAGTGCACTTATATCACTAGTTCAACAGGGTACATGGCCAAGATTGACTATTCTGGTCGCGGCTGGCTAAGCGGCAAAAAGAACAGCTTTTCTGCTATACTATATAAGCAGAGTGAGGGCGAAAAACGTCCCCTATACACCGTCGATGGCCAGTGGTCGGATTCGTTCAGTATCAAGGATGCTTCAACCAAGAAAGAGATTGACAGCTTTGATGTCAAGAAGTCCAAGACCACCCCCTTGACTATTGCTCCTATTGAAGAGCAGGATATATATGAGTCCAGACGTGCATGGAGGGATGTTGCCGCTGCAGTTGAAACGGGGGACATGGATGCGCTATCAGCAGCTAAATCGAAGATCGAGAATGCGCAAAGAGAGCTTCGAAAGGTCGAAGCTGAAGAGAAGCGGGAATGGGAAAGACGTTTTTTCAAGCGCATCGATCTAGATGGCAGCGATGGCGACAACGAGGACAACACGGTTTTCAAGAATCTGCTGAAGACGGTTGGCTTTGGAACTGACGGCTCATCATCAGCTTGTAGCTTCATTGATTCCGACAAGACTGGTGGCGTCTGGAGATTTGATTCTGCTCGATCCAAGGATGCAAAGTCGCCCTATCACGCCGATTCTGCGAAGGGGGTCGGCCTTGCTGTAAGCCCGCCTACCGCCAATTAATTTTTCACCCTTGACAAGGTGTGCAGCACACCTTTTCAACATGAATTACGGCGTATCGTCCTTCCCCCTTGCATTGCATATTAAAGCTTTGATGTCTTTCATTTTCCCATTGGGTTTGCCCCTACTATAATTGCATTCCATGGCTGCGTGAGCTGCTGTAGGGTTATTTACTATGAGTTCATTCCGTCTATTGATTCTATTTTAACATTAGATAGAGAAGAAATAGCGCGATACAATGAGCAGGGAGCAGACTTTTCTGTTTCTTCATACATCATAGAGGCCTCCAACCGTACATTAGTAGATCAAGCAAATGATTATCATACCGGTCATACCCGTTCATCTAAGGGCAGCTCCTCAAAGTGCCCCTGGCCATCGTCATCCAGTATCCATTTCCCACTCCCCGACTTATTCTTGTTCTTGCGCTTCTTAGCCTTCTTTGGCTTCTTCTCAAACTCACTTCCAGGTCCGACAAGGAATCTACCAGGATGGAAGATGTTCAGTGCAAACAGGGCTAGGAACATGGGGGTTGCATCGAGGATATAAAAGGCTGCTTCGTTTGTGGCGATAGCTGAATGAAGGCCTCCCGAGTACTCAACTAGTCGATAGATGATTCTTATGGTGATCAGAACCAGAGTTGCATAAACAGTGTACAGAAGAGGCCTCCATGGACCATTGGAATGCTCTGTCTGTTCGACGATGGCCATCTTGTACTGGAACCGAACCGCAAGGCCAATAAATATTAAGATGAAGAGCTCCTGAAGGCCAATACCTCCCATATCTATGCTCATGTTAGGGAATTGACTCGTTTGAAGAGTTAATGAAGTAAACGTACAAAGGTTGATCCCGATCTTGATAGAGCTTGCAGAGTCTGAATTCAAAAGACTGGTTGAGGCTCCCTGGGTGAGGAAAGCAAAGATATCCAAGCAGACGAAGATGACCGTCAGTCTTCTGGCTGAGATACCGAAACATCTCTTATCAGGGAGGAAGAAGTGCACCATCCTCCCAAGAACCATGTAGACATATGCGTTTATCCATAGGGGAGCTAGGGCAATGAGGATATGATGAGGCAGGCCGAACCCCTTTTGATATATATTCTTTGCGCCAGCTGCTCGTAGGCCATAGGCAATGGCTTCCCATGCGCCGCCAACTATGATGACCCATGAGAATGTCTATATGAAGAAACGAGTCAGTTTCGTTTGCAACTCTGATGTGATAGAAATGAAAGAACCTTGCTGACCTTCTTGAATGTAAAGGCTTGCATAATGTGGCTTCCAGTGGTAAGGAAGAAGAGCACAGCAAAGAGAACCGCCGGTGCGAATGTCGGACAATACTGCCATGTCACGTCATCGTTATTGATAAAATCAACTCCTTCACACGAAGACATCATGGATGCCTTTCAGGGGTTTATACGGAAACTTGTATTGGTATCTGAAGATGATTCCATGGGTTCAAGAGTGGGAATGAAGTTGAATATATATATACATCTTCTCGTCCGCCATAATAGTATCTTGAGCCCATGTCCATCTTTCAATATGGCATCCCATATAGATAGAGTGGTTACGAATGAGTTTCTAATTCTGGAATCAGTGATCCCTTCGAAGCCCGCAGAAAAGTCTTGTATCAATCAAGCCCCAATGCGAGGAATGCGAGCCAATCCGACGAGTTCCTTCGAGCTCTCTCCCCTGGTCGAACAGAACGCTAGGAGCTTCGCCCATGCTTAGCTAGCGAACGTGGTTCTGGGTATCAAACGGACAGTTCTCCCCGAAGGATCGAGATAGAGCCAAAGAGCAGGTCCACGCATGTTGCTGTCGTCAGCTTCTGGGCACTCGATGCGGCTGCTGCGACTACGGGGCTGGATCGCATTCCTCGTATCTGCAAACACTAACTAAAACTTGAATCCCTCACAAGTCTTCTGCGGCCGATTCAAAACGGGGCGCGATTCGTCGGGGGAGACGTAAGCTGGCCGAACTTGATATCGAGTCGGTGATGCTGGGATAACTATCTACCAATGCTGGTGCTGTAGTACGTGTAGCAAGAGTGGAAAGGGTCAACTCGGTTCTCAATTTCCTAAAGATGCAGCAAATTGAATGCAAGCCATGCAACTAAGGGGCTATCAGGGTACAAGAGAAACGAATGAAAACAACAGCATTAGAGTAAGATATGGTGGTGATGGTACAAGCCAGGTCAGTTTTGGTCGCTGACGGCTGACTGATATAACGACTGAACCCGACAACAGAGAGGATAGATAATACCACGGCAAGACAATTTCTTTTTATATCCTTTCCCTTTCCCTTTTCCTCTGCACGAAACGAATGACGCCTGGGGATGATCTTCCTTTGTCCTCTCTGCCCTCCGTCCCATTCAAGTTGATTAGCTGTACAGTTCGAGCATTAGCAGCCGAACTCCTGGTGAAAGAAACACACCGAGAAGAGAATGATTAAAGCGCGTAGACAAGTCCAGCGGTATCATGCCATACCAGAATGCACGGAAGAAGCCAAAGCCAAGTTTGAACTGGTGGTTGTGTCTGTCCGCAGGAACGCAATGCACATTGCATCCCGTTGGCAACACGCCCTTGAAAAACAACCTCAATATTGATTTCGATGAAAGGAGCCCGTAATGCAGACGAGCAGAATTTGAAAACAAAAAAAAACATCATTTGATTGGTTTAAGAGAGAAGAGGAAAAGAGACATTCACAGCCAGGGCTCCCAGGAAAATGGCAAAGAGAAGATGAAAGTAAGAGAGAAAGGAGGAAAAAGGTAATATAGGCATCGCGTAAGAGTAACAGAGAAAAGAAATAATAAATGAAGAAACTGAAATAAAAAAACAGCAGAAACAGCAACAATCCCATTTCCCCATTCCCCAATCGCAAAAAGAGATAAGTGAAAGGTTTCAGGTCAAGTCAGCGCAGAATAAAGTACGGAGTAGAGTTAGGTATGCAAGTGTGCGAGAGTAAGAGAGGAGGACAAAAAAAAAAAAAAAAAAAAACAGAGTGAAATAATAGTAAAAAAAAGGTCCACCAGTTCCCATAGTTATTTCTTTTCCATTTAAGTCGTTTTTCATTCTTTTCGTTTCTCTTCGTTTTTTTCATTTGTTTTTATCTTTTGTGGTCGAGAATCTCCTCAAACGTTTCCCTGGGTAGTTTTAAGGCATAGCATGGCATAAACATGACTCTGATGCTTAGTGGCCATAGTTTCCACCCCAACCACCGCCGCGGCCGTTGTTACCGTAGTAGTTGCTGCCAAATCCAGCACCGTAGTTGTTGTATGCGGTGGCCTGGTGAGTGGTACCAGCTTGGTGGGCACCCAGACCTCCTAGACCGCCATACTGCTGGTTGAGGTGAGGGTAACCGCCAAAAGCTTGTTGGTTGGCTTGCTGGGCAGCGGGGACTGGGGGAAGGCCAGACTGTCCGGTGGTGGCCGGCTGGTGCGGTGCATTGTTAGCAGCAGAGCCAGGGCGGTTGACCTGGGAGACAGATGGGGATGGGCCACCAGTCTTCGAGGAATCGTAGGCCTTGGAACTGCCTGTCTCGTCAGCGCTGGTTGCCTGCTGAGAAGGGATAGGCTGGTTCTGGCCAAAGCCGGACTGAGTTCGACCAAAGACATCGGGAATGCCGCTGAATGCATTGGCGCCGGTGGACTGTTGCTGTTGACCATCGGCAGGCTGAGCGGAGCCAGCTCGTCCGTATGTAGCGGTGTCACGCTGGGGAGCAGCCGACTGGTTAAAGGCAGCGGTGTTGGCTGGGGAAGACTCATAGCCGAAACCGTGTTGCTGAGGCTGTTGGCTGTACATTCCACCCTTGCCATAAGGGGCGTACTGGGTGCCGTAAGCGTACTGGGATTGGTGAGGAAGGTAATGCTGCTGCTGCTGCTGCTGTTGCTGCTGCTGCTGCTCCTCATATCGGCGAGCATCATCGTACATTGGACGGTTGCGGCCGTACTGGTGTTGCTGATGCTGAGTCATTTGGTTCATGTATGCATTGGGGTAGTGAGGGTTAGTGTAGTAAGGATAGCCGTAGTTGAATCCAGCATGCGCTCCCTGGCTCTGAGGCATGTGGTGTGATGGCTGCTGGGCAGACTGTACTTGGCCAGGAACAACAGGCTGGGGAGTGTTCTGGCCACTATTAGGAGCTTCAGCATGCGCATAACGGCCAGGAGGCTGCGAGGCGGGAACTTGAGGTTGTGATTCGGCTCCGCTGGCAGCGAATCCGGCACCCACACGCTGGCTGGCGGCAGGATCCTGAGGTTGGCCATATGCGCTGTAGTAGTATGGGTTGCGGGACTGGTCAGCTCCGTAGAAGGCAGAGTAGTCGGCAGCAGTTGTGACGGCAGCAGGTTGGGATGGAATTCCTTGGTTGGAGAATGGTTCCTGGCTCTGTGGTTGCTGGGCCTGTTGATCGGCCTGTTGGTTGAAGATATCATATGGCTTTTGAGCATCACCGTACCGGGAGAAGTCGTTGAATGGAGTGTCAGCAGAAGCAACAGGGGCTGGGGGGAGGCCCGGGGCGGGTCGGGGGACAGTGGCGGTGGTTTCAGGTACGGCAACGGGTCTGGTTGAGGGAGGGAGAGAGGCACGGGGAGCAACGGGGGAGTGTTGAGGAGGCTGAGGGCGGGTTTCTGGTTCTTCTCGTTCTTCATCAATGTTAACATCAGTAGTAGATCCGTTCAGGCCCATGCTGCCAAACTGGACAGTGGCACGGTCCACGGCGTGGTTTCCGGGCATAACAACGGGTTCTTGCTGTTCCATAACACGGCGCTGGAAATTTGGTCCGCGAGCGGTACCGGCCGCAGGACCCTTGGGATAGGCATAGGAGGTAGCGGGGGTGCGGGCTTGAGGCTGTTGCTGTTGCTGTTGCTTATGTTGAGAGGCAGGTTCCTTTTCGATGTCAGCAGGAGATTCAGTGTCAGGTTGAGCAGGGGCTTCAGGTTCGGCAGGGACAGATACAGATGGGGGAGCTGGTGGTTGTTGTGGGATAACAGGTCTGGGCTGTTCGACTGGTTTTGGTACTGGTACCGGTACTGGTTGTTGTTGTTGCGCGGGAGCTATTGGTGGCTGTTGTTGTTGTTGTTGTTCGGCATTTTCTTGTTGTTGGTCATTAGGGAGAAGTTCTGGTTCAGTTGCGGCAGCAGGGGCTGGTTCGGGGACACTGGGCTCCACAGGAGCTTCGGCGGGTTTCTCAGGTGCACTTGGGGCAGTGGTCAATGGGGGTTCCTTGACGGGTTCCGGAGCTGGCTTCGCAAACAAGCTGGCCCAACCTCTCTTCGAGCCTTCAGGGATCAGACTGCTCTTCTGAGTTGACTGCTCTACGGCAACCTTGGGAGTCTCCTGGACAGTATTCCATTCCGGCTGAGGCTTGGACTCGACAGCAGAGGACTCGACGCCCGCCGGGGGCTCTACTGCTGAATTAGAATCCCAGCCATCCGTAGGAGTCAGGTTCGAAGTAGTGCCGTTGGCCTGAGAAGGTTGGAGAGGCGCATGGGAACCAGCTCGTCCACCACGGCCACCACGGCCACGATCTCCACGACCACGGCCACGCTGGTCGAAGCCTCCGCGTCCACGTCCTGGTCTTGATGGGGGGATGTTCTGCTCTCCGCTAATAGGGTGGGCATCCTTGGACGAGGCCTTTTGCCGGGTGCGATCAGAGCTCTTTTTCTTTACCTCACCCCACTGGGAGACGTTTCCTATCAGATAACGGTCAGTAAAGGAACACATGTGTTATGGATATCTATGCAGAGGAAATGCACAACAAAGGCCAACCTTCTGTGATGCGTTCAATGGCCACTTCCAGATCGCCGTTGGCGTCCTCGAGGGCAAAAACCAAGTCCTCATCCGTCCAGTCTGCGAAGAGCTCCTTTATCGTCGACAGACTGCCGGCATACTTCTTCTTCAGCTGGCCAATCTCTCCTTCGTCTTCGTGCGAGGTATCAGCAGCGGTCTCCTGGCTGGCCGCAGCAGACTTCGCTGCCGCTGTCGACCTGGCGCCGCCCCGGCCGCCTCTAGAGATGTGGCCACCCCGTCCACCACGCGCTGAGCCGCGCCCACGCGAGGCAGACGGCCTTGATTGCACCTCAGACATAGCTAAGGGACTGATGTAGAGAAAAGCAGAGCGTCAACGAAAGGGCGTGAGAGTCGAGGGACTGCAGAGATGCAGCAGGTCGTGTGAGGGAGAATTTTCGACGGCCAACAATCAGCCTGGGGCAGATATGAAGCACAACCTCTCGCAACCAAGCGGCGGACAGAGGAGTAAGTTGGAAATTCAGAGGAGAATGACAACTGCGATGTGTGACTGGAAGAGAAGAAAGAAGATGAAGCTGAAGAATGAAGATATTGAAAAAGCGACTTGGGAGTCTTTCTTTTGCTTCCAGGATGATTTCGTTTGCTTTGGGGCGAGTTTCGCGATGGACACGGAGAAGCTTTCTTCCGTAAGCGAGGTGATTGGAAGTCGGCCTGAGGAGACGGGAGACGATCGTGACGATGATGTCAAGGGCAGAGGACGAAGAAGAAGACGAAGATATAGCCGTATAAGAGGATATAGAAAGGAGCTGAAGTTGGCGTTGACGTTGGCGTTGGCGTTGGCGGTCAAGGCGTCTCGATGCGCTGATAGAAGGACGACAACAACAACAACGACGACGACGACGAGGAAGAAGACCAGAAGAACATCTACAGGCACAATGACGATGAAGAGATACTTCACCTCGCTGGCAAGAAAGATCCATCCGCCGCTGCCCAAGACCTCCCGCGAGTCCCAGCAGCTGCTCAACCTGCTCACCTCGTCCTTCCGGCGGCATCTCGACAGCAGACACCCCCCCGTCAGCTCGCCGGACAGCAGCAGCAACCCGCCAGACGCGGCCGGCAGAGCTGGTGGGAGCAGCAAGGCCGATGCCCGGTCTACAGCAACGGAGAGACATCTAAACTCGATCCTCGAGCATCCCTTGTTCAATACGGTGCCGTCGACGCTGGGAGCCCGGGATATATGGAACGGGAAGCAGATACAAGATGACCCCTTCGGAGCATTGGACGATGCCATGGCCTCCGGGAGGGCAGACAGTCAGTGGCTGCATGACTGTCTCAAGGCTCACAGGTCGTCTCTGCGTAGCATGTCTGATGAAGAGGCGCTTAAGGTGCTGAAGAAGTCTGGAGGTGGTGCACGCATCATCTCCTGGTTCATGGCCGCGGATAGTGAGTCCAAGAAGCGATTCTTTGGCAATAGACACACCATGGCGCTGGCAATGCCCTATCTGGCTGTTGAGAGACGCCAGCGTACCGTGATGGACTGGCTACAGCTTGCTAGAGCCTACCGTCCCGCCCACAGACAGCCGAAGCACGCTGACGACGGGAGCTTCCTCGAGTTCAACATCATGTACGAGTACGTTGCTGCAGAAGTCAAGTACGGCAGAGGCAGCATCAACGATGCCCTTGCTTTCTTCATACGAGCCTCAGATGCCTCCTGGAGATGTGAGATAGTCGAGCCAGGCAGCCATGCAGTGCCTACATACCCTTTCCGTCCGACGGCGTACTACCTTGCCCAGTGGATTTCAGCTCCGGAGCATGCCTCAGCTGTAGAAAACATCCGACCGGAACTGTTCAACGCTTTCTATTCCATTTGTCTCTTACTTCCGAACCGGCTCTGGGCTGCCTTCTTGCCCGTTTATCACCCCACTGAACCCAATGTCACGTCCTCACTTGAATATATCCGGAACTATAAAAGGTCGGATCGTGATAACATCGAACGCTTACTCCATCTTTCGTTCCGGCTGGCTTCGTTGTGCCTTGAGCAGAAACAATATGCTGCTGCATCAGAAGTGATCAGCTTTACCAAGGACCTCCTCCCGGATGATACGGCAACCCAGTCTACCAAAAGGCAACGGCAGCAGAAACAACAAAGCGACCAAGTGGTTTCAGCCAGTGACCTTGTTTCCAGGCTATCGTTTACTTGAATGCCCACGCACCCGGGGTACTTTGTCCCCCTTTGTCTACCCCAAGTCGCCGATGCCCGAGGACGTGGTAAACCCGTCCCGTTATTTCATCATCTCCGGGGGTTATTATTACAATCCCCTAAACCTGTGGCTCTGTTAGACACCGCAGACACTCCACAAGACACGAACTAGAAGCCTCCAGCCTCAGTGGCGAGCCGTTCGTAGTCTGTTACTAAGAACTGCAACGCTGCCACTCAGCTTCTCCACGGAGAGCTCTACCTGTACAGACTTCGTTTGAAGCCATGTACATAGCTCAGTCTATACAGGTCTATGCCGATTTCCATGCTGTTTCAGCATATGTCTTTTTTACAACCCGCATTGACTCAGCCCGGTGTCCTGCCAACGGCAAGAAAACTGGCGTCATCCTTGCACAAAGAGCCGAAACAAGAAGAAAGAGATGGAAGTTACCAGCTGGTCCTCCAAACAAGGTAGTGGAAAATTCAGTGGCATTATGTCATAGACTTTGCGTGCTTCCGTTTCCACGCCTTTTTGAACCAAGGGTCACAGCTGTCATCGCCTTCTACAGTGACATCTTTCATATATATTACCACTACCAGATTCCGTTGTTCTCTTTTTCTCCTACTTCCTCTTCTCAACCATACCATGGCTGTCTTCTATCTTCAGACGCCATCTCAGCTTCGTGGTCTACTCGACAGCTCAACATCCTGCTACCAACCAAGCGAATAACACACGCAGCAATCTAGCAAATCAACCGACCGCCCGGTTATGGCCAAATCATCCGGTCTGCCTACGTTCCCAAGCCCGTCAGCTTCCCAGGAAGAAGTGGATGCCTTCTTACACGAATGGGTAGCAACTCGCTGGGAAGTGCCCGTCTCCGACTCGCGAGTCCAGAATGTTTCATTTCGCTTCAAGGGGACAGGCTCAACGCTATATTCTCTTTCACAGGAAGAAATGGAGACTTTGATGGGAAGCAAAGCACTAGGGGACTCCCTATATTACGCCCTGTGCTATGATTCTCCCTATGGGAGTGTAAGCTGGTGTCTTTCATTCAAGGAAAGGTGGAGGAGAGGAGTAATACTGACCCCATCGCTATCTAGGCAACGAGAGGCAAGTATGCCTCTGTCGTCTCTGGAATCTCGAATGCCGCCAGGTCCCTCGGGCCAGTGATCCAGAGCCCTTCATCATCATCATCATCATCATCATCGGCCTCACCGGCCCTCTCATCGGCTTCATCTACCTCGATAGATGAGTCGTACACTAAGCCACCGCCGCCTTCTATACGTCGTAGCGGGTTTCCGACTCGCTGCCTTTCGGAGAAGCCTAGTGCGCAGTATCTTAACAAATTCTATGTGAAGTAGCTCTTCTAAGTAGCTCTTCCGACACACTTGATGTACTCTGGTGCTTGGGCGTCACTTACAGGGTTGATATATCCAGCACTCTGTGTATCATACACATCATCATACATCCACCATCTCTTAAAACAACCAAAACTCGAACAAATAAACATTAATGTCAAATAAAATAAAATATATAAAAAAAAATCAACTACTACTACTATCTCTTAATATATATTATCTTCTGTAGTGAATGCTGACCTGGCCTTGCAGCCCTAGAACTCACCACCAACAAGCCGTCGCTGCAGTGGAGTTCGTGGGCCATGCAAGTCAGAAAGCCTCTCGTATTTACCGCCCGCTCGTTGGCTCGCCGCCTGCAGGGAATGAAGGCTGTATCCAGCTTGTTTTTTTTCTTTTCAATAACTAGTGAGGAGCGCTCGCTACGCTCGCTAATTGGCGGATATATTATATTAATAAGCAATTAGTAATGAAATATATACTAGAAATTTTTACCTCGCTTAGTTATACGTATATTTATAAATAAACCCCTACTTAAATTTACTAATTTAGTAAGTATCTATATTTATATTTATATCTATATCTATATCTATATATTCGCCTACTTATAGCTCCTTCTATCTATATAGCCTATAGAATAAGTACTAATAATAATAGTAGTAGCTCTAGCCCTAATAGCCCCTATAGCTAGATACTAAATAAGATATTATAGTTTGCTCCTAAGATATTAAAAGTTTTATAGAAGTGGAGATAACTCGAGACTAATAAAATTAAGGCTATGATTTTTAAGGAGAAAATAATAAATATTATTAATATACTTATGGTTATTAAATATATTAGATAACTTAAGCTTTATAAATATATTAAAACTATAAATTTAAACTTAGGTAGAGCTATTAATTATAAATTGATTATTATATAATTTTATAATTAGTAACCCTCTACTATCTATAAGTACTATAAGAAAAGAGTTAGCTTATTTACTGAATATATTATTATAAAAGATATATTCTCTAGTAGCTATATAAATTACTATTTTAATAATTTGAGAACTTATTATTTATTTTATATAGATATATTTTATATCTATAAAAATAATTAGTATATTATCTAATATATATAATAGAGAGCTCTACCTTACCTAAAAAGGGTAAAAGTAAGAAGAAGGAAATTTAGCTAACTATAAAGTAGCTAAAAAAAAATATTAAAAAAGGGAGTAGTAGCTATAACCCTCTACTAATTTTGAATACTATTATAAATAAGGGGTTTTCTATTATTATTAATAGCTATAAATAGCCTATTATAAATATAAAGATCTATAAAGAAAAAATTAGATACTTATACTACTACTTTATTATAGTTATATTTACTACTAATACCTTATTTATAAGTATAATAGTATAAATGGAAATTCTGAAATAAACTATAAAGTAGCTAGAAGTAGAGCTTATAATATTAATAAATAGAATTATTTTAATATAGGCTAGGGTTTCAAATAATGAAAAAAATATAATTATATAATCTAATTTTATTATTATAACTGGTAAAATTATAAAAATTTTTATTATAAATATAGGTTTCGAGGGCTTTAAGAAGATTATAAATAAAAAAAAAGAGAGATTATAATTATAATAAATATAGAGTTTAATAATAATAAAATAAATTTAGAAATATAAATATATCTCTATAACCATAATTACTAACTATAAGAGTTTAGCCTATTTATAGAATAGAATAATAAATATAATAATATTATATTCTCTTATATACCAATACTAATCTCTATAAGAACTTCTAAATATATAATATTCTAAATAATACTATTAAATATTTATATTAATAGAATTATAAAATTTTAAATATTTATTATATATAAGAAAATAATATATAACTAACTATATATAAATACTAAAGAATATAAATTAATACTAATATAGTTAAGAAACTAGCTTTATAATTTATTAATGATTATTATAAAATGGAGAGTAACTGGAAATTTTTTAGAATTTAATATAAATAGTAGCTCGCCTACTAATAATTATAAATTAATATAAAGGATAAGGTAGTAGTATTTATTATATAAGCTACTAATAATAATTATTTTAATTAAATATTAATATAGCTAAGTAATAATTAATCCAGTACTATTATAGAGCCATTCCCTGGATTATAAATTATAAAAAAATATAATAAGTATACTAATCTTTAACTATAAATTAGAAGAAGGTATATCTAGTATTTTAATAGAATATAAATACCTATATATAAATTCTTTAATACTAGAGGTATTCTAGAAATCTATAATAATTAAATTTATAACTAGATAAATATAGATAGAATCTAGAAAATATTTAAATATTATCTTATTAATAGCTTGTAGTTTATTATTATAGACTATAAGAATAGTCTAATAAGAAAAAAACCATTAAGTAGTAGAAGTATTATGATTTATAGTAGATGAAAGATAATTAAATAAAAATATATAACTATAAAAATCCTTAATTATATATTTATATCTAATATATAGTAGAATATTAATAATACCATATAGGGAAATATTATAAGGTAAATATATAAGCTAAATTATAAATAACTAGAAGTTTATATTAGGCTATAGATATATATTCTAATATAGCTATAATACCTTTAATAATAGCTATATAAAAGAGTACTAAATACTTATAAATATTATTATAATTCCATTACTATACTATATAATAGGTAATATCTAAATAAAGTTACCTTCTAATAGAACTAAAATACTACTAAATAGATCTATAGTATTATCTTATAGATCTTTAAGTAGCTAACTTATAACTTTTATATAAAAATAGTACTATATTAAAACCTTATTCTATATTATAAGAAAGATAAAATATATATAGTAGCCTATAGTAGACCTAACTATAATTAATAAAGTAGATATTTCGTATATATTAATAGATATTTTAAATTATAAATATATAGTAGTTTTATTAGGTACAAGGATAATTATAATACTATATAAAATTATATATATTATAGTCTAGCTATTAGTATATGACTAATTATATAAAGCCTTATAAAGGAAGGTCTTGCTAGTACTACTAGTACTCTATAGAAAAAAGTAGGTAGTCTTCAGCTATTTGGAAATCCCCCTAATATAATGAAATAATATATTTATAAATTTTAATATTTATATAATTTAGATTTTTTTTTCCAGTATAACTACTCTTTTTTTCATTACTTTACTACTATTTCTATATATTCTTTTTCTAAATAATACTTATATTTATAGCTTTATAACCTTTATACTATTTACTATGGATTTTATATTTTATTTATAATACTTATTATACTATAGATATACTTATAGATCGATAATTTTATTACTTCTACTATTCTATATAGCTAATTAGTAATTTTCATTCTAGTTAAAGAAATTTACTTACTTATAGTACTTATAGAGAGTTATACTACTAATACTATAACTATACTTACTTACCTTTATTATTGAATCTATAAAGCTACTTAATTTACTACTATAATATTTCTACCACTAATTTTATATATAATAGCTAAGTTTACTAGACCTATAATATCTATAGTAACTATTAGGCTGTAGAATATTCTACTTAAATAATATAGTTAGAGTACTAACTAGGGTAACTATTATAGTGGTTATCTAGTATACCTCCTAGTATAATAAAAATCTACTCTCTCTATAAATATATACTACCTATAAATAAATTCTATAATAATAAAGGAAGACTACTATATCACTACTCTATATACTATAATTCTAATATTATATATTTTACTACTTCCTTCTTCTACTCTATAATATATACTCCGCTAGTAATTAGCCATATAAATATATTTTATATATACTATAATATATTATATC